CTTAGTTAAATCTTCAAAAATGGCAAAGAGAACACAGTTTGACATGCTTGAAATTGTATTTTTGCACCAAGTAGTTTGATTTTGTGCAGTGTGTCATGAAGAAATGTGGAGACACTTTACAAGTGGATGTCAAGAAGTCATTTTTAAAGAACTGGAGTGAAAATCAGTGGCGACTAACTAGAGTGATGAATCCACATTTGAAATGTTTGGTTCAACTTTTCATCAGTATGTACTGAGGAGGTCAGGTGAACAGTATAACACTGAGTGTCTGCTTGGTGGAGGCTTTATCATGGTTTGGGCTTCACTGCAGCCAGTGGGGATCTTGCCAAAATTGATGGAATACAGAAAAGTATCAGCAGGTTTGGTCCACCATAAAATACCATCTAGAAAGTATTTGATTGGCTCCAGTGTCATTTTTCAGCATGATAGTGATCCCAGACCCAAGGCCAAAGCATACCTGGGTAGAAAAACACGAGAATACTGTCACTATCAGCAGCCTGGAGAACTATTCCTGAAGATTACGTAAAGAAATTATTAGAAATTTACCTCTGAGGGTTCAGGCTGTGTTAAAGAATAGAGGTGGTCATACCAAGTATGGATCATTAAGCTCATTAGAGCTCATATTACTGTATTTCCAGTATATTTGCACTTGTGTCAACAAGTCGCTCCACCTGTTTCCTATTTCCAAGCAAACTGAAGCACTTGAAGGGTGGCCCAAGACTTTTGCACATTACTGTATTCAAAATAAATCAAATTAAATAGGTTTTTTCTACTCGTGCCTTTGTACAATATCAGGAAGACGGGGAGGATATTTAAAGGCAATCTAAACTCCAAAATTAGAAAATGAGGCTAGAAAAGAGCGGTATCGGGTCTCTTTCCAACCAATAACGTACCTTAATGTCATTTGTGCGTCATATTTGTAAGTATCAATGACATTCATGTTTCTGTCAGTCAGTCTGCTATAACTAGAAAGTTGATTGATTTGTGTGCTTGGTGATTACACTTCCCACTTTGCTTGTCTGGCCTGTAGCATGAGCTCTGCCTGGCTGGCAGTGATAGATGAGACTCTTAATATCACTGGGTAGCATCATGTCCCTACTTAGGGGTAACTCAAGCAGTACAGCTTTAAGGACTGGCATCCTGGTCAACGCTCCTTTAATCCCAGCAGTTAGCTTCAGACACGGCCCGGCAGGTAATCCAAACCTGACCGAGGCAGTTTGATGGGCTCCTTTTTAATCACCCTAGTGAAGAATCCACTCAATAAATAATGCCACTGCAAATTTATCAGCTAGCTTTCAGGTCTGTGTCCTGGTTTGGCCTCGTCCAATGGTAAATAATTACACACATCATGTATAAAAATCACCTATTTGAATACATTCACACACATGTCCATAGATCCAGTTTAGGCACTTTTGTTAAGTAAACTCCAGCTCATTAACTTGGCACAGCGTGGGTAACAAATGAAGCAGGGCTAAGTAAAATGATACCTTGGTTTAATGCTTCATTTGGTAACAGTATGATTTTAGAGACTGGCCCAGCCTCTTTGTTTGTCTCTTACTCTAACCGATCTTACTGGATATCAAGGTAACACACATTTCATGCAGATTTTGAAAAGCTGTGCTGGCACCTTAAAGTCATAAATCCCAGGTTCTCTAAACTATCAGGTATAAAGGATAATTTGTAATACTAACATTTTATCGGCACTTTTTATAAGTTGCTTAACTTTTGCTTACTTTTGTTACTTTCAGGCCAGAAAAGGAACCCCAGTTTAAGTTCATTTACTTCAACCACATGAACCTGGCAGAGAAGAGCACTATCCACATGAGGAAGACCGCCAGTGTTTGCCTCACCTCTGTCCATCCTGACCTCATGAAGATCCTGGGAGATATCAATTGTGACTTTGCCAGGTAAAATCAGAGGACACTTTAGTGAAACCTAAGCTATATTTACTAAATGCCGTCAGGCATTTCTTCGAGAGTTCTCTAATGACAGTTCACAGATAAGATAGGTGGTACTGCTGGTGTTCCTAATGGTGACCGGAGAGGATAAAGAATTGATTAGTTTTGGTTTATATAAAAATAAATAATAAGAAGAAGAGAGATCACAGCAGCATTAGACCATCTTTAGTTGTGTATTTTAGAATCAAACAAAGAAGATGTGTAGAAGTACAAACTCATTTTCCCAGCGTTTCAGCACAGCTGTGTAATTTTCAGTTTTATTACGACACTCCTGGGATCTTTGCATATCCACATTCTTTCCGTCTTTGAAGCAACTTATTACACTGCAATCCTGCAGTGTAATAAGTTGGGGGGTTTTGAGTAGGTTAAAATGTTCTCTGGTACATTACATGATCTCTCAAGCAACAAAGAGCCTACTGTGAATGTGGTGAACACCTTCGTTTGAAACATATAGTTCTTTCTGTCTTTCAGGGTTGACGAAGATGAGGAAATCATCGTAAAAGCTATGACAGACTACTGGGTAGTCGGCAAAAAGTCAGACCAGAGAGAACTGTACGTGATCCTGAATCAGAAGAACGCCAATCTGATCGAAGTAAACGGTACGTCTCCCCTATTTGGCAAAAAGTAAATGCATGTCATTCTTACCAAAAGTACACCATCTGTCTCAGTAATCTCCTCTTCTCCTTAAGTTGACCCTTGTCTTTTTTTTCTCCTTTTTCTTTTTTTTTTTTACTACAGAGGAAGTTAAGCGGCTTTGTGCGACGCAGTTCAACAACATATTTTTCTTGGATTAATGGTGAAGACACTAAAAACTGTTGCAGGGTATCTTGACAGCATCAGCGTAATGCAATAATTGCATCATGAAATTAACAATAACAATGAAAAGATTCCTCACATCGTTTTTTTTTTTTTTTTTATTTAACCTTGAAAAATTTTAATTTTTCTTCTGTAATTAAGTGTAAAAAAAAGGCAAAAAATCCAGGTTTTGACTGTATGTGTAATTTGCTTTCTTTCATTTTCTTTGTACATACTTGAGCAATTTTAAACAATTTTCTTTCACATTAAAATGTGTTCATACACTTTTATAATGAACATATGACACTTTTTCAAATATATTTAAAAACTGACATGCTCATACTCCGGCTTTATTTGATGATCCCGTGATTGTTTTCCGATGCCATGTCAAAAGATTTGTGGTTTGTAAACAACTGCCCTAACTTCAAATAAATTAAGAACCAATTTTCTGCAGTGTACTGAATATTTTTAGTCTCTTTGGCTTTAGACACAAAAGCGAGTAAAGGTTTTGGAAACTCCACAACATCATTCTGATCATGAGTCACTGAAGTCAGGAAAACTCATTAAAATGTAAAGAATAATAAGGTGTGGGTCACCTCTTTGATAACTGTTCAGTGCAAATTAATTGAAGGTAAGTGAGTAGATGGTAGAATTACTTAGGTTTTTGTGGCCTGTTTTCTTTGTTTTGCTTTGTTGGGGTGTTTTGTTTTGTTTTTTTACATTTTATAACAAAGACATCTGTTCAAAATAATTAATTCCAGTTTCTTTAAAAATAAAAAGGATGCGGTTGGGCTAGAATAACACAAATATTAACTTGTGATGAACTCCTGGAGCACTTGAAACATGCCAGAGATCATAGAAATCTACTGTTCCATGGTTCTTGGTAAATAACTGAGAGAGCACTGAATTCTCTGCACCTATGACATATTAAGCTGATATCTTTTTCTCTTTTTTTGGTGCTTTTACAGGAAATGTAGTTAGCAAAATCTTACAAAAAATCTCATGAATTAGGCTTGAACAGCTTTTTCTTTTGGTTTTGTCTGAACTACATCCTAACTTGTACTCCATCCTTTGTCCTGCGGGGAAAAGGACAGAAAATGCGATGATATATTATCTCTTAAAAACACAGTTGCGAGTTTTGTTGACAGAGAGGTTAGAAATGTAATATTTAGTCAGGTTTTTTTAATGACCTTTAAAACACAAGTGTTGTTACTATTTTAGGACTTAAATCCACCATAAAACAAAAATGATCATGACTCAAAAATGTATTTGTGTTGATGTTACTTCATTTGGTTGTTGAACTACACTACACAGAGTTTCATGTGGAGAGAAAAAAAAGTGCGTACATTTATATATGCTGTTGGAAATTTTCTCACCTGTTTATGCTCTCCTTGTTTGAGTTAAGACTTTGTCGCTGGTCTCAGAGTCAATTCTGGTCTAGCAGGCAAGTTACACAAGAGTGATGTGGACACTGAAGTCCGCATAAGGTACACAAAGGAGTAAATGGAGTGTGTATAGCACTTGGTGCAGTGGCCCCCTGCCCCCAAGCTAGGCGACTGGCTCCAGCAGATCCTAGGAACAACATCAAGATCTCTGTCCAGAAAAGTGCAGTCCTAGAAACAGCTACTGCGCAGGACCCTGAGGCTCCCAGGGCCCAAGCTTGAAGGATAAAAACCACCTGCAGGGGGAAGAGGAGAAAAAAAAACAGATATTATAATTTATTTGGCTTCAAAATATCACTTTTTAAATCTTCTGTCTAATTGAGAAATGTATTAAACTTATTTATGATGAACACTTTTATTTGCATCACATTGTACAATCATTTCATTAGTTTTCTGTGGATGCATGTGTATTTTTGAGTTGCTTTGCAAAGTAACAAATAATGATTTACAGTTCATTTTATTCCACATGGATTTAACCCACATAGCTGATTGCTGATTATAAATAATTCCCGTGTTTAACTATATCAGCTAACTTAATATTAATACTAATTGTTACCCTTCCTACTGTAAATACCTGATTTTATCAAACACATGCATATTGTGTAATTATACAGGGTTTGACCTTTTTTTTTTAAACAAAATTTATTCCAAGCAAACGTTTTTATACAATTTTTTCTCCACTTTTCTGGAGTAATTTCGGCACACAATGGAAAGTTGTTACAACAGCAACAAAAAAATCAGAAGAAGAAGAAAAGAAACTAACCAATCAGGGCTCACGTATGACTTGCAGCCAATCAGCGTAAACTTGGACAAATTTTAAAAACTCACCCGCCATGATTGTTATGTTTCTGCACTGAGCTTGTACGTTGCGCTGTCAGGTTTTAGTAAGTAGAGAAAAAAGAAAAGAAAACAATTGTACCTCTTTGGAAAAAGAAAAAAGGTAAGTTGGGTTTTTAATCATAAAAGTTGTTCACTTAGATATATTTGTTAACGGAATGTTGAACCCTGCGCGAGTCCTTCTGTCAACAGAAGTGGTGGAGTGGGTTACAAAACTAGCACTGGTTGAATAATTAGCTCGTGTTCCTGGTTCGCCTTTGAAAGTATCTATTTCTACTCACTACACTTTTTAGTAGCAGTAGAACAAAACACTGTGCTGGCTCACGTTTATTTTCTCCGCCTTTTGCCGTATTATACTTTGCTTTTACTCAGGTGTGTAGTTGGTGTAAGGTTCACGACTCCTTCAAGTCATACTTTAATCCAGTAACACTGACGTTAACGTTTGTTTGCAGAGAAACCACCAAGGAAAAAATTAAGCCATCGAGACGCCATTCCTGTCGTTGCTTTAACGCAATTGTTTGAATTTCCGGAGAATAAGAAAAGCGGGAGGGGAAAAAAACACAGCGTCAATATTTTTGATCTGTTGGTGGTTACGTCTACAAGCTTGTAGCTAAACAGGCCAAAATGAAGCCGTTTTTGCCGTGTTACCATTTATAGTGCCTAGCCTATACCACATACTTTTCTCTTTTTTTTCCTGACAGCTCTTGCTCAGTACATTGTCCATGTTTTGGGAATTATTTTGTGTGTGGTTTTAAAATTGCCACCACATGAATAATGACACTAATACGTTTAAAAACTTTCTAATTTCTATTCTTATAGCTGATTACAACACAAAAAAATTTGCCATTCAGTTTTGGATCCCTCTCATTTTTAACTAATATGACAAATGTCTCCTAATGTCTGTAATATCCATTGCATGCAATCTGCAGTACCTTTCAAAACATTATGTTTCCCTTCTTGAAAAATCCAGATACCTGATTATGGAGTCTCGATTTGCTCACCTGCGGCAGCGGGACACCAGTGTGTCGATGCTTAGGGTAAAAATGTCTCGGAGAAGGTCTCATTCCCAGAAGGAGAATCGAGAACGTACTGTGAACACCCGGAGGCAGTTGGATAAACTCCCAGAGCTGGAAATGTCCTCCCTGGATGCCTCTATTGCAGTGGCCAATATGTCAACCATACAAGAGAAGACGAAAAACAATGAAAAACCTGCTAAAGGTATGGCTTCACAGTTTTAAAGAAAATGCACTGCTCTAGCTCTAGCTGATTTGTGCCCTTCCCCATGCTTGTTCCTCCACAGCAAAAGCAGTGGAAGATAGGCTGAAACAGCTCGAGCGCTGGAAGGAGCGGAAGGCTCTTGAGAAGGAGAAAGAGAAGAGGGAAAGGGAACGTAAAGGGGTGTTTAAGATTGGTCTGTATCATCCAACGGGAACCATTACCTCACTACCTGCTGTCCCAGATGCCTCAACAAAAATCCAAGAGGTAAGAGGGGACTTATCAAAAAACACTTTAGATGATTTATTCTAAAACATGTCTGTGAATCACACTACTTCCCTATCTTTTTGTTGGTTCTTTCATAACTGTGATGACCATGTGATATCAGAGGATTTTTTTTCTTTTTTTGTCTCAGTGGAATTTATTTATTTTTGGTTATGTTTTCAGAAAAAGGCGAACACGGCTCCATCCCAAAGTATTAGAGTCACTCGTTCAATGAAACAGCAGCAGCA